CACCAGTGCGACCAAGGTCATTTGGGCCAGTGGAGAAGACATCACCGTAGGACCTCAGCAGGCCTGCCAGATCGTAGCGGGCAACGTGAGTCAAACCGGGGCTGCTCTCGGCGTAAAGGGCCTGCAAATGGCTTGGTACAGAAGCAGGGGGAGTACCATTAAGCTCGAGGGCAGCCAAGACCCTTGGTGGGTGACCCCCCGACCCCTCCAGGACCTGCACGGGCTGAAGAACCCCTGCCACGGCACCCCGCTTTAAGGTGACAGCTGCGGCCCCAGGGTTAAAGACTCTGATTGGGATGCTAGAGGGTTTACTAGGTTGCACAACTGCGTGAGCTACCAGTACTTGGTGCTTCTCCACAAAGCCCTTTGTGGGGCTTAGCATCATGTCTCTATGAGCGGCACAGTGGGAGCTGGAAAACCCGGGGACCACATACTCGCAGCCTGGTTCCAAAACCGTAGTGCGTGCCACCCTAACAACAAGCACCTGAGGTTGAGGGCCCACACCAAAACATGGTATCTTTTCATTAAACAGGGTTATCTCTTGGCGGCCGTAGTCTAAGCAAGCGCACGATTGTTGCAGGAAAGGGTGCTCCAGGATAACTTCAGTGCCTTCAGCCATGTCGGCCAAAAGAAAGTCTACATTTTTAACACCGCTCCCCACATGTACAGGCAGGATGACCTCGCCCAGAACGGCCAATCCCTCTGGACCAATGCCTTGTAGAGTCTGAGCAATGGATGCCTGCACCTGGGGTCTTGACTCTGCGGGGACAAAGCGTTATAAAAATGTTTTTGATTCGAAATATTAAAGTATGTGTCACAGTGAGTTTTATATATTTACTAGGTATGTGTTTTTAAAGGGATGTCAAATGCTGTCATTTTTCTGTAAAGCAAATTTACCTTGCCTTTAGGTATAAATAAAGTTACCTTACCTTACCTTACCTATGGTGTTAAAATAGTGGAGGGGCAGCACATTCCGCCGTGCACCAGAATCCAGCAAGGCCCGTATTTCCCGTCCCTGTATTACTATCTGGACACACATCACATCTTGGCCTCCGTTGTGGAACACTGTGCCTGGGTCAGGGGCTGGGCCTCTAGCAGCTTTTACAGGCTTTTGGGCAGGTGAGCGAGGAGAGGGGCAGTTCCTCTGTAGATGTCCTATGCCGGAGCAGTTATGGCAAACAGCCTCCTTCCTGCTTGACTTGTTGGATGTGCTCCAGCTTTGGCGCCCATGCTGGATAGGTCTTTGAGCCCTCTCCGGTGGTTCATAACTTAGCATATGAACATTCTCCCGTAATGCAGCTGTTCGGTCCCCTGTGCTGTAGAGACTCGTGGCCCTGGCTGCATAAGCTGTGTGACTGCCCTGGCGGCCCTTTTCGTTGTCTCGAACCTGTGGGAGATTTCATAGGCTCTTGCCAGGGTGCGTGGTTGTTCTTCCAACAATTTCTGGACCATTTCAGCATCTGCCAAAGCATTAGTGAAGATCTCTACAGCAATACAGTCCTGCTCCAGCTCGGAGCGGTTGGCATACACAATGGAAACCTTCTCATAAATATCATCTCTGAGGGTGTGCAGGGCCTCACCTGGTTTCCTGATTCTCTGCCGTAGCTCAATGCCAATGGCTGCTGCATGCTCTGAACACGGCCCATAGGCAGCCTCCACCTCCTCCACAATCCTCTGGTAACTCCAGCGAGCAGATTTGGGGTTTTTGTGGATTATGGTTCCAGCTGCGCCCCTCAGGCTGAATCTCAGTTGGACAGCCATGGTCTTCTCCGTCCAGCAGTTGGCCTTTGCACAGGTCTCGAACTGATAGAGAAAGTCTTTCCATGACCCTGACCCATCGAAATGGTCTGGTTGTAATGTGGGAATTTTCTCCTTGCCCCTTGTCTGTCCATCAGCACTACAATCTGCAAAACCACCGTCTTGCACTACACCAGGAAAACAGCCGCGTGGCCCTGGCATGGCTTGTTTTGAACTGTGACCCTGGTCATGCTTACAAAGCCCACACCCCCCATCTGGTGCTGGTATTACCATGCGAGGTGTTGGGGAAAAATAGCCCTGAGCTGGCATTTCATAGCTGTATTGCGCAGGTTGGGGTATACCCGGCATAATGTGTAGCTTCGCTGGCTCAGTAAACCGTGTTTTTCTAGGGACACTGCAGGTACAGTTCATGGCGGTGAATGGCTGGCTGCATGGCCAAGATGTAACAATCCGAGATGGGTGATCATGCAGGCCATGCTGTCCCACTGTGAGCGGTGTAGATGCAGTGTTACCAGGGCCTTCGCAGTCTGAGCACTGCAACTGCTTAAACTCACTGCACACTGCATTCTGCTTCGCTATTGGTGTTAAGAAAGGGTTGGTGTGAGCTGAAGGTGGCGGGGTGAGATGCCATGCAGCCTCAAACTCTGTCGTATCGACTGCTGCTATGCTCGCCGCTGGCGTTAACTCTATGTCCGTGATGAAGGGGTTGCTGCTGTGGATTCTATTGTTTACATAAGTGGCATGGTCCACATTAGCTGTGCCACTCTCTGGTGTTTCTGACAAAAATGGGTTGCTGCTCTTACTGAAGTACATTACCATGCCATCCCCTTCAGCATCTCTCGGAGCCGCCATTTTCTCTGTCGTCCGAGGGAAAAGAGAGAAAAAAGTTCGCTCCCTCTCTCTCGGCGCTTTGCGGAGTTTAATCCCGGAAAAGAGCCCCCAGTGTTACCGCGCCAGATCCGCGGCCCCGAACCGTAGTAAGGAAACCTCTGGCAGTTACTTGAAGGTTCCGTAACTGACTCGCAGCCGGCAACAGCTTACTATACAGGTCAACTCCGCTAGCAAGAAGATCGAGGGAGGCGTAGGAAACTGCTTTACCGAACCTTTATTTCTCCTCCAAGGCACGAACACCGCGTACAGTGGGCTGAAACAGTTTACTCACAGCGGGCATCGCCGATACAACTCTGGCTGTCGAGGGAGTTATTATATTCCTTTTATTTATTTTCTCTTCGTCTCTTCTGTAGCTAACCGTTACTCTTCCTTTTCCTTTTTTTTGCTCTACCCCCCCGCACACATTTCCCATCAGGCTCATCCTTAAAGGGCCACGCCTGTAACACCAGCCTGGACCCACGCACGTATCCGAGGCCTGTAAATACTTCACTGAAATCACGTGTCCGACATTTAACTTCAGCTTTTACCTGTTAATTAAACGTTGTCCTGCTGCTGAATGAGCCCTCATCTGGGACTCTCCTTAGCTGTTACTGGGACAGTGGCGCAGCTGCCCCTCTGTGGGTCTTCCTTGGTCTCTTGTGTTCTGGGGGCCTCTGGATGTCTGGAGTTTTGATCTCCTCCATACCTGCTTGATACCTTAAAGGACAGGGCTGTGGCTCCCCACACTCCCTAGCAGATCATTACATGGAGAAACCTCTGGAATGCAAGCATGCTGATCCACACAGGTATGCACACAGGTGTACACATGGGTATTCACAGACGCGGACTACAGCTTTCTTGGCTGCTGCCTCAAAGCACACTGTGCGCTGTCTATCTTGCGTGTTGCACAATATCGTTTATTATTTAGTAACTATTGATATCTATGGCTAGCTAGTTTATTGTGATGGTGCTTTTTTTTTCTATTATTATGTTGCTCTTTGTTGTTTGCTGTCTCCTCTGTTTTTTTTCTCCATACAGGTGACCCAGGAGTTCTTTTTTTGTTTTTGTTTTTTTTTGTTTGTTTTTTTTTCTCTCTTCCCCCCCTTCTCACCGTCTCTTCTCCCCTTTGGTTTTCTTTCTTTCTCTCCCCCTCTTTCTTTCATTCTTTCCCCCTGTCCTATCCCACAGTTATGTCTGTCCCGTTTGCAACTGAAAATAAAATAAATTCATAATTATAATAAAGGTCAATCAAATGGACCTATATGGCAAGGCCATGATGATCCACTTGGTAAAATAAATCCGCTTGGCATCTTTCTTGGCCTCAAGACAACAATTCTGATGGCTAAAGATCCAAACGGGACAAAAAGAAAAAAGAAAAAAAAAATTTAACGTTGTCCTATCTTAACGAAGGTGACACAACTGAGCCGGTCAGAGGTGAATCTTTATGTGCCTGTTATGATTTTTGGTCATTTAACTTTGCATTTCAATTACAGTAATACAAACGCTTTCAAACCTCACTTATATCCTGTATAGCGGGTATCCTCGGTATACCCTGACACCACCACATCTGTCCACAACACACACTTAAAAGGATACGGGGTGCCCCCTTACAACAGTCCCCGGCCCCACACCAGGGATTCTTGAAGATCACAAGTGCTGGACCAGGAAAATTCACTTAACTGTTCACTGCACTTAAGTGAGGAGGAGTGAGGAGAGAAGCAGCCTGACAGAGGCTCAGCAGGCAGCACTTCATGTGGATTTTCCATAAAAACGCCATCGTCGCAGCCGGGCACAAAGCCAGGTCTGCTCTCCTTCTGAGGGTGACTGAGACCATCCAAAGCCTTTTCCACATGGCCACTCTGATCGCCAACAGCATGTATTTGAAAGATGGTGAGCAGCTAGGAATATAATTGCTTATCAGTGCTCTCTCTCCAATCTGTCATGCTTCCTTTAGGATTTGCTAGATTAGCGGAGAGCATCTTCCACTATTAAAGTGTATTTAGCTGCTACTTCAGCCTGTCATATTGGCTTTGGAATTGCACCAGTTGGCCGACATCTCTGAGAAGCTTTAAGAACAGGACCCACAGGTTGAGGCCTACTGGTGAGCCTGTTGCTCCTCACAGACAGGACTGAAGCCTGTCACAGTGGTGCTTATCACACTGGGTGGAAGAGGCTACTGTGATGGTGTGCAAGTCCCAGGACTGCAGCCTCGTGGGGCCTTTGGGGTGTTTCTGTGGGACACATCTGCACACGCCGACCATGATTGTGTCACAGAAATAGCTTTTATATATGTGGTATCGTAAGGAATTATTTGTTTGTATAAATATATTTGTACACGTAGGCATAACAGTTATTATCTACAGATACAGACATGTTGACTTCATGTTTATTTTGCTGAAGAAACACAGACAGGATTGTGTGAAACACGTTACTTTGAACTGACTGAAGGGCCTACAGCGTTTGTGTTTGTAGTTTTCACGGCGTTCAATAAATGCAGCAAAGCGGCGTCTTGAAGAAGCCGTGCCTGTCGCGGAGCTACAATGATGATGATCCATGTGACCCTCACTCACACACTCAGTCCTTAGTGTGGGCTCCTAGAGACACGCAGACCTTTGGAAGCGCTGACCTGCCTGGGTGGCGGAGTTACAGGCTTTGATGCACGTGATCCAGGAGTGGCGCCGTTTCCCACAGCGAGACACTGAGTGCTGCTTGAAAGAGAAGGTTGGTCACTTGCATAACACCGGTTCTCTGAACACCGAGTGAGATATCTCACCCAACTGCCCTACCTGCATGGGCAGAGGGCTGGGGATCACCGTGTCCTTTGCAGTGATTGGACGGCCTCGCACAGACCAATCACAGGAAACGGAGGTGGTGGAGCTTCCGTGATTGTTCACACCAGAGGGCACTTCCCATACATAATGGACTCACTTTGCAGAGAACGGGGGTTACACAAATGACCAGATTTTTTTGTTGAATTTATTAGAAATAACGGCTTTATTTTCTTTTTATTACCCATAAAAAATGGAACTGTGAGGCAGAGAGAAAAAGTGTATTATATTAGGGCAGCGACGAAGCTCGGCAGGTGTAGCCGAGTTTGTGTAAATGAATCCAATTAAAAGGACCCGACTCTGGGGCACCGGGTTGGCTCAGTGGGAGAGCAGGTGACCGTAGTCGCAGAACAGCAGGCCTGGGTTCGAGTCCGACTTACTTTGTTGTCTATCAGCACTCCCACGGCCAAAAACAAAAAAACTCTGGTGACAAATAAAAACAAAGGTTTCACTGCGACAAGAAGAAGAACTGGTCTCATGCTCTGTTACACAGTTTATTACTGGACAACCTCCAGCTGAGACAGAGGAGCGCTCGCCGCTCGCAGCCACGGGCAGGGCGTGAACACAAGGAACAAACATCCACTCAGTCTAACCCTCTGGAGGCATGCCACACCTGTCAGATAAGCCCCGCCCCTCAACTAAAAACTCAATCACAGACGCCACCGTCCCTCTGTGCTCTGCAGGATGGGAGGCGTGGTCTGTAGCTCCCAGGGACCTCTTACTGTCCGATCTGCAGCTCCTGCAGCTCCTTCAGCAGCTGCTCCTCCTTCTGGATCTTCTCCACCTGCAGAGGAAAGGTTAAGCTCAGAGTTAGCGCCGCTGTGCTCGCAGCACCAAGATGTCAGCAACCGTTACCAGTCATCGTCTACAGCGTGATCACAGTTCCTCCAGACACCACCCAGGGCCCGCCGATGACTGCGGCGTTTGCCCCTCATGAGTGTCGGGTTGTCAACAAACATCACCTGGTTCTTCTGCAGGACCTTCCCCGATGCCTGCTGCTCCTTCAGCTCCTCGATGGCCTTCAGTTTCTGAAACGTACAAAAGTCACTGAGAGACTGACCAATCAGAGCACCACACACCACTGACCCCACCCCCAGGCTGAGATCCACCTGACTGACGTTCACAGAAATAAACCAGCCTTCACCTTCTTTAAGTTCTTGATCTTCTTTTCCACCTCTGGGTCACCGATGCTTGCCTCTGATTGGCTGTTACTGACAGCGGCGGGGTCAGTGGGAGGTTCTGGTTCTGGTTTCGCCTCCTGTTGAAATAATCAGATCAGTGACCGTGTTCACGTGACTGCCTCGAGCACCTTACAACATGGCAGAACCCGGAGTAAGAGGAATGCTGGCAGGCGGTGTGAGATCCAGGTGAGAGCAGACAAAGATCCTCCACACCTGAAACGAGGCTGAAATCATCAGTCAGGCTTTTCCTGTTTTTAGCAGATGAATATCAGCAGATCACATGATCACACGTCAGCTGATGATGAAGAAGCCTCTCAGCTTCTTCATCATCAGTCTGTCTCCTCATCATCCTCTGTGATGATGACACATGAATTTAATCAGACGCTGAATATCAGATGTTTCATGTAAACAAGTGTTTCACAGTAAAAGCCAAACTTTAGAGTGCTTTTAATTTGAAAAAGGCACAGCATGTGTAGTGTTTGTATAAACAGCTGATGCAGGAAGAGAGCAGGAGCAGGTGACCATTGCTTCTCCAGCAGCAGACGTCGACGCCGTGCGAGCGACGGTGTGACGGCGTTCAGCTCGCCTGGATTTCAGCACCTGTGCTCACAGGTACGTCACACTTTCGAGTCTCACCTGCTTCGCTGCCTTCTTTGCTTCTCGTTTCCTCTGGTTCTTCAGAGCAGATTTAGAGAGACTCTTCTCTCCCGAAGCTCCGGGACGAAGGTCCTGAGGAGGCTCGTCCTCGTGCTGACAGGAAAAGACAGGTGAGGTCAGGTTACCATAACGACGACTTCTGCCTAAATAAACCAGAAAGTCATCTCACCAGTTTGGAGCTGGGCGTGGCGGGCAGGTGTCTCAGTGCGGGTGGCCGGTACGCCTGTGTGGGCGGGGCCTGTGTGGACCCCAGCTGGCTGGGCGCTGCCTGGTACTTGATTGGTCGCTTGGGGAAGCTGCCGTCGGGGAGCGACTGCCAGCGCACCTCCCACAGCTCCGAGCCGGCCGCCACGTCCCATTTCTGAAGCACGGAGCCGGTGTAGTGCCAGATCTTATAACCGTTACTGACCCGCAGCCGAGGAGAGCAGGTCGCCGTGACGATATGCTCACCATCGGGACACCAGGAGAAATGAGTGGCGTCTGGCGCCTGAGATTTGGACACCTTGGACGAGACAGGTGAGACTGGTGAAGCCAAACACGACAATGATGGAGTTTAAAGAGAAACCGATGGACAAGACGCCAACTCGTTCGATTAAATCACTGATTCTTCCTGTAAAGCTGCCTGTAACAGGACAGCTCAATGAGGGCTGGGTTTACAGTTCAATTCATTAAATCCTGAATGACTTTTACATATAAATGTATTTTATCAGAAACGTCAGAATCTCAGGTTAAAGCTCACAAAACTATTTCAGCAAACAGCTCAAACTAGGGCTGGGCCATATTATACCGTTCACGGTAATACCGGTATAATGTTAGGCAAAATGAAATATCGCGATAGAATATGAGTAAAACGCGCATGCGCAGTGCCTTTGTTTTCATACGCACATGGCCGATTGTTGAGTGAAACAGATGAACCAGAATTGGTTTGTAAAAATGGTGCAACCTCAGTGATGTGGAACTGGTTTGCTGTTTGTCCGTCAGATACACAACAAAGCACATTTTTTTGCAGAACATGCAAGCGGCCGTTGTTATTGTCGTATTTGTCGGACTAAGATGCTCTTAAATCTGGGAGTAATCTGGGTCCTAAACTCCGTATACTTCAGGTCAAACAACACTGCAGCATCACTGAGAGTTAAAAACTGTCTAAATTCTTTCATCTTTAATAAAACGATCAGCATTGCTGCTTTACCAGGTGTAACTATAAAGTTTAACTTCCAGGCATCCATGAAAAAAAATGTATTACATTTAACGGAGTTAGAAGTTAGCAGGAAGCTAGCGGAAGTTAGCTCGCTAGTTTCGCTAGTTACCTAAGCATGATATAGCATGTTCTGACTGAGAGATTTCTGAAAAAAATCAAACGTACAGCTCTGCTATCACTTCCAACATAAATGAAGACAGGAAACTAAACAGCAGTGACGTTTGTAGGGTTACTGAAGTTGGGCTAGCTGGTATATAATGATGTGCTACGTGATCGCTAGCGACACAGCTATGTTAGCATAACATAAACAGTGAAGCTGGAGGACGAACACTAACACTTTTCCACTTATAAAAGTTAACGTTAAGGTTCCTGATAGTTAGAGACAAATGCAATCGCATGGCAGGATGCTGTAAACGGACCAAACTTCAGTCAGGAGAACAACTGAGATAATCCATCCACAATACGAGGTTAGTCATTAATACACTGCAACAACATGGGAATAGAGCAGCTGCCAGAGAATTCAACATTAATGAATCAATGGTACAGAAGTGGAGGAAGCAAGAAGAATGAGTTTAATAAAGTTTGATTTATCTGACTGCTTTGTTTAGCTCAATGTGCCTTATAATCCCGTGCACCTTATGGTCCGAAAAATACGTACTGCACACTGCAGTTTAATGTTGCAAAGCACCTCTTTTTAACTTCAGTGGATATTATACATGGTTATGCTCAGGATATGTCAGCCCATTTCTACTGGACATGCCTTTTGGTTAAACTTTCAGCAAGGAATTTGCATTTGCACTGTTACATTTTTATAAAGCTTTAATGTACATAAAAACCAGCTTCTTGTTTAAGTGAAAATAAATGGAAGGTTGTCTTTTTGCGCTAGTAATGTTGTGGAGTATTTTGTCTCGCATCAATTATATCGTCAGTTATATCGTTATCGCAAATTTTCAAATATATATCGTGATAAATATTTTTGGCCATATCGCCCTGCTCTAGCTCAAACAATTAAAGAGCAGGTAAAAACGTGGAAACAGAGCGTGGATCGTCCACAGACGCCGTCGGCGCTGAGAGTCGACGGCTCACAGATCCTGAAGCTGCAGGTTTCGTCACTCTGACCAACACTGACTGAACCAGCAGCAAAAGAAGATCAAACTGCGCTTCACGTTCGATAACCATGCTCATGAGCTCCCTCTGACTTTGGCTGCTGTACTTCCTGCACAGCTCTCTCTCTCTCAGCACTCAGAGACCAGTTTACCATCAAATCTCTGCTTCCTGCATTATTCTCTGTTTATTAGCCACCAGTCTGCTGCTGTGTTCAGTGCTGTCGGCCTCTGACAGCAAAGCCTCGTCTCTGCTGTTCAAACTGAACGAATGGAAACAAATGACTGCTCAGCTGTGTCTGTAATCAAACCTCATCAGGTCATGTTCACATGTTGATTCATGGTTTGCTTCAGTTTTTGATCGACTGCAGAATATTTTTAAGGTTTTCTGCTATAAAAAGCCAGAACAGGAAAACCTGCTTCATGTTTCTCTGTTGGATCCTCAGTTACTTTTAAATTTCCAAGGTTTAGAGGGTTCTTTGGACAGCACACATCTAAATGATCAGAATTATATTATTTCTGACAGTCTGAGTCAAAAATGAGCTGAATTGAATCAGTGATGATACGAGCTGTAAATAAGAGCATCGCTTTGACATGTGATAACAGAAACACACAAACGTGACGGAAAATGCATACGAAACAATAAAACTGTGTAATGATACAGTTACAATAAAAAAAGCTTCAGTAACAGTCAAATCAGACTGAACACCATCCACAACCACAGATGGAGCGGTTTGATCAAAGAGCCGGGACCAAAGAGCCGGGACCAAAGAGCCGGGACCAAACAGCCCGGATCAAAGAGCCCGGATCAAAGAGCCGGGACCAAACAGCCGGGACCAAACAGCCGGGACCAAACAGCCGGGATCAAACAGCCGGGACCAAACAGCCGGGACCAAACAGCCGGGACCAAACAGCCGGGATCAAACAGCCGGGATCAAACAGCCGGGACCAAACAGCCGGGACCAAAGAGCCGGGACCAAAGAGCCGGGACCAAACAGCCGGGATCAAACAGGTCTCTTTTACATGTTTGGTGTTCTTGGTTTGAGGCTCCACCATCGGGGCAGGGGTCAGAGCTTTGTGACCTGGCCTGGTGTCCCTCAGGGCTCCAGTCAGCGCCCCCTATGACTATCGTGTGAGCCGACAGCGTGTTGCTGAAGAATGAAACTCACGCTGGGCGTGTGCTTCAGCACTAACCGCATGGCGCTGTGACGCTCACAGGAAGTGAAACACCGCTGAAGGTCCATTTACCTATTGCTTTTCGACCCACCCCCACCCTCCCTCCGCAGGTGTTTTTCCCTCACCTGTTTGTAGTTCTTCACATCCCAGACCTCCATCTGACCTCGCAGGTTACCGAAGCCGGCCAGGATCAGGATGTGGCCCTGAGGGCTACAGACAGGGAGACAGACAACATCCAGCAGTTTAAGGTTTGACATCCAGCCTGATTTCCCCTCACAGTTAAAAGCTACCAATCAGGTGCAGCCTCTCACAGGAAGCATCCCATCCTACTGACTACACTAGGTCAGCAGGTTTGGTAGCCGTTACCCACCGAGGAGCCAACCACGTTTTCTGCTGCGGTGATACGACGCTTTTCCATCACGTACCGACCTCCTCCTGAAGACGCCGTATGGCTGAGCCCCCGTCACGGTGGCATCATTAACAGACGTGACCAAAGAGGCGACAACACGCCGTCGAGCACAGGCGGATTCTCACCTGTAGTACGCTGCATTTCGCGGTCCGGTCCCAAAGTCGTAGACGGGGTCACATTTGAGGTTGAAGACGGTGGCTTTGGCCGGCATGAAGCCATACACCACGCAGAACTCGGTGGAGCTTGGACTCCACGCCACGTCGTAGATTGGGCCGTTCTTCGCTGTTTCAAAGCGATAAAGAAAAGTCGTTACACAAACATTTCCTGTCGCTATCGCCATATTTTACCCCTCAGGTGACCAGCGCTGGCGCTGCAGCGAGAAGCTAAACTGGGAAGTAAAAGGAGGATTTACACAGCTGGACCAGCGCCGTCTCTCCGTTAACGCCGAGGTAATGCAGCGTCTGCTCTCCATAGTACGACGCGCCAGTTTTATCCACTTCAGTACTTGCCGTCACCAGCACGGCCGAGGCTGCGGGAAAGACAGGCGGGTTAAAGTCAGCGCTCACAGGGGTCACGGTTCTAGCTGTCGGGACTCGGGACACCTACCTTTCTTGTTCCACTGCATCATCACTCGGTCAGCCTTGAAGAAGCTCTTGTTGGCGAGTGCAGCAGTCGGCCCTCCAAACGCCGGGTACTGATACAGGCGGACGAACGAAGGAGCTCCTTTGCTGCCCGGAACGTAGACGGCGACCTGACGGGGACAGACGGTGGGTGGGACCATGTTCAGGTAGAATGAACTATGCTGCTGGACGCTCCGCTCACCTTGCTGGGCTGACCTCCAGGCGACAGCGCAAAGTCGGACACCTTCTGCATGTGGAGCTTGTTGGCGATGGAGTCTGGGAAAAACGATGGCGCAGACATCAGCTGCTGGTTTCACAGCGACAGAGCCGCTGGCTACCGCTGCACGCGTCCTTACCAAAGTCGTTGTCCTCATAGAAGTGCAGCTCGTTGTTGACGATCCTCACGCAGATCTTCTCGTCTTCAGACCAGCTGGGACACCTGCAGACCACCACAGACATCAACACTGACAGGCAACAACCAATCAGTCGATCAATCAATCAGTCAGGGTGCGTCAGGACTCACCACGACTCGACCTTCTTCTGATAGAGGGCTTTGATGAGTCGTCCGCTGCGCAGCTCCCACAGCTGGAGGTTGGCTTCCCCCTGAGGACTGTCCTGAGTCTCTGCAGCGTCACAGAGTCAACTTTGTTTAAACAGCACCGTTCACACCAGCACGACACACCGAACACACTGAAACACGCCAATCAGCAGAAAAACTGACAATTTAGATTCAGACACAGCAGCTTTCCTCCTTAAAAACCGTTATCTGCAGCAGGCCACACCCCCACACAAACTAAAGCCACGTGCCGCTGACACCTGAAAGGGTCAGTGTGGGTTTAGCCCACACAGGAAATGTCCCTTTCCACCAGACTCCATTCACAAAAACAGTCATTTAACCTCAGAAAGTCTTTACCTGTGAATTTTTCTTACATAAAAAAGTAAAAACAGCTCCACCAGGTGTGCAGACAGCCCTCACCTGTAAACGCCTACAGAACTCACTTTCTTTGTTTGGATAAAATGAAACATGCCATGCTGCAGGAGAGAGGCTCCGTGCAGACACAGGCACACCTGCCTGCACAGGGGAACAAAAAGGAGTATCTGCGCAACCGGTCTAGTGTCACTGTCTCTGCGACTGAGCGTGAACTCCGAGTGCAGAGGAGAGTCTGCAAACAGCTGAGAAATGTTTATGTCACATGACATCAGTCTACCTGTCTGGGTGTAGAACGTAGGTGTCAAACTCTGGCCCGCGGGCCAAATTTGGCCCACAGCCTAATTACATTTGGCCCGCGAAGCCATACCAAATTATTATCAGAGCTGGCCTACTGGTATTATACAGCTAATATATATATTGTTTAGTATCAAGCTTTGCTTGTTCCATATTCAGTTTTTCAGCAAAACCTGTTTGAGTCCATAAGAAAAGATTCATTCTTATATCTGGAGGAATAAATATATTTCAATAAATATTAACGTTAGCCCGCGACTTTGTTCCAGTTTTGAATTTTGGCCCACTGTGTGTTTGAGTTTGACACCCCTGATGTAGAAGGACTCGTGACCTCATGTGAACTTGTTTTATCTCTAATCTCTCTACGGACGTGAAACTCCCTCTTCTTCTCTTACTCGTGTACAGTTGCCAGGTAACCAGGATGTTGTTGAGTGGAGAAAATTCCAGCAGGGCTGTCTTCGGGAGGTCAAAGGTCGACACCACAGCGCCATCTGAGGGGTTCACGATGGAGACACTGATGTACAGGCAGACAGAGGGTTAGAGGTCAGAGGTCAGACAGGGTGCAAGACAGATGTTACTCACAGGGATGGAGAAGCTCCTACTTTTGTCCGTTACACCAACCAAAGAGTGTCCCGTCTGTGCTGAAGGTCACACATCTGCTGGGCCGGCAGTCCCTGCCACACACACGCACACACACACACTGTAAACAAACAAACTGTGTCCGTGTGTGTTGGTGACAGGGTGCGTAGGGGGCAGGGTTACCTCTGGAAAGCTGCATGTGGCTCACAGTGGGGGGGGCCTCGGAGCAGAGACGTGCCATCGGATCCTCGCACTGAAACACAAACACACCAGAAGTATGTGGACGGCTCACTGACGCGTCTGTGACTCCTGAGCACTGACGTTAGCTCAGCGCTGTGAGGGACGGTCTCACCGTCGTCAATGCTCTCTAATATTTTTGAACTTTTTTTAGTTGTTCATTCCTACAATGTTTATCCTTAAGACCTCAAATGTAAAACTGATTTTCATCGGAGCTTTAATTTTATTTAACTGTCATTTGAATGTAAACATTTTAAGTTCTTTCTTTACGTTCGCTGGATTGTAGTCATACTGTTAGGAGTCAACATGTCTTCGTGTTTACGGAGCTTCTGAGAATCTGTGAGACTGAAATTAAATTACAAATTATTCTTGCACCTGTTACTGTGAACAGGTCAGATTAAAGCGGCTCGCTCCTTCAGCGGTAAGATGCTGTTGAAAACAGATGCTTTACATCAGGGGTGTCCAACTCCAGGCCTTGGGGGCGTGTCCTGCAGGTTTTAGATGTGTCAGCTGATTAAAGTGGCTAAATGACGTCCTCGCCATGTGTTGAGGTTCTCCAGAGGCCTGGTAACGAACTAATCATGTGATTCAGGTGTGCTGACCCAGGGTGAGAACCTGCCAACACCGGCCCCGAGGCCTGGAGTTGCACACCCCTTTGGTTGCAGCACGGTGGTTAGCACTGTTGCCGCACAGCAAGAAGGTCCTGAGTTCAATTCCACCATCAGGCCGGGGTCTTTCTGTGTGGAGTTTGCATGTTCTCCCCGTGTTTGCGTGGGTTCCCTCCGGGTACTCTGGCTTCCTCCCACCGTCCAAAGACATGCAGCTTGTGGGGATAGGTTAATTGGAAAAATCCAAATTGTCACTAGGTGTGAATGTGCGAGTGAATGAGAGTGCGAATGGTTGTTTGTCCCTGCGTGTTGGCCCTGCGACAGACTGGCGACCTGTCCAGGGTGGACCCCGCCTCTCGCCCTATGACAGCTGGGATAGGCTCCAGCGCCCCCCGCGACCCTGAAAAGGATAAGCGGAAGCGAATGGATAGATGGGTTGTGACCATTGGTCTCTGATATCAACACAGTTTGGAATAAACCGAAGAGTAAAAGAGGCCCTGAAAGAGCTCCATTTAAAAATCCCTTAATGTAACGTAATCCCGATTGAACCAAAACAGTGTCACGTGAGTTTACAGCAAACGCGGCGTTTGAAGCGCACAGCATCGCCTCGCACATCGGCTCTAACACAGACCCTAACGTAGCTGCTGCTCTGCTGTTGTTAAGCTCTTTGTACCCGAAACCTCACTGACGTGAAACAGAAAACAGCGTGGTAAAATTCAACCAGCTCAGTTTTATTAACGGAAACACACACGGGCGTTATTTTACAGCCGAATCAACCCAAAGACTCCACCGATTTAAAAACATACAACACTTTCATTGCGAGCGCACGTGACTTTGTTATATTCGCACAAATTAATATTTTATCCGATTCCTCACTGGGTTTGGCGGGCTGCTGGCTCTACCTAACAGCGCGGAGGCTTACGCTGGTCGTGGCGGATGTGTGACTTTGTGTCGTTGTCCGTGGGTTTTAAAAAGACAGACATTTTTATATAAATCAAAATAAACAAAAATGTACCCACCTGCCAGCAACGGGACGGGGGGCGCCATGTTTATTGTGCCGGAAGAAGAAAACAGCACCCCGGAAATGCTTCAGACCACCGAGAGGTGGGTCTATCAGCGCCACGTCAGCAGACAGTCAGTGACACGTCGTTAAAAACTGAAAAGAAGACGCTTACTTTATCATTTATTAACATGTAATTAACGATTCTCTGATAATCGCGAGCTTATAAGATCAGCCACGTTCAACAATTATCATTAAATATCATTTCTTTTTGATGTAAATTTGAGGTCAAAGTTGCATCAAAAATGTCGGAAACTGACTAAAAGGGATTCCGCTTTTGCTTTCAAAATAAAAGGCATCTGAAAGCGAAGGAAGGGTAGGAAAAATGAAGGACCTCAGTCGAAAGGTTTTATTTAAATCAGCTTTATAAAAACAACAGTTTAAACAGTAACACTGAAATGGCAGGTGGTGAGGGTGGGTAGATGCGTTTCCAACAGCATCACCATCAACACAGGAGCACCTCAGGGATGTGTCCTCTCGCCACTGCTCTACTCCCTCTACACTTCAGACTGTGTGGCCACCCACGGCTCCAACACCATTGTGAAGTTTGCTGACGACACAGTGGTGTTGGGTGCCATCTCCAACAACGATGAGGCGGCCTACATGGATGAAGTGAAGAATCTGGCATCGTGGTGCCAGGACAACCACCTCCAGCTGAACGTCAGCAAGACCAAGGAGCTGGTGGTGGACTTCAGAAGGGGTCAGCACAGAGACTACAAGCCCATTATCATCAATGGAGCTCCAGTGGAGAGGGTGCAGTCCTTCAAGTATCTTGGTGTCCACATCTCCTCAGACCTGACATGGGCTGCCCACATTCAGGTCCAGACCAAAAAGGCTAGGCAGCGCCTGTATCACCTACGACAACTGAGGAAGTTCAGGGTTTCTCCAAAGATCCTCAGGATTTTCTATACAGGCGCTGTGGAGAGCATCCTCACACAGAACATGACATCGTGGTTTGGGAACAGCTGTGTGAAGGACCAAAAAGCTCTCCAGAGAGTGATCCGTACAGCAGAACGCTGCTGCAGGATTGCTCTCCCCCCGCTTCAGGACACCTACACCAGGAGATGCCGGACTAGAGCAGCGCAGATACTGAAGGACCCGTCCCATCCTGGCAACAAACTGTTCCAACTTCTGCAATCTGGTAGAAGGTTCCGCATCTTCCGGGCAAGGACAGAGAGACTCAAGAGGAGCTTCTATCCCCAAGCCATCCGTGCCCTAAACACACACACCCGCCCTCTCACATCATCTATAATTGACTGAGTCAGGACTCTTCCAGACACTAAACCAAGGAACAATGTACATTTCAATTCCTTTAATTTTAAATATGTTTATATTGTCTATCCTGTAAAATAGTCAGATGTCTATTCATATTAATGTACAGAATTCACCTGCTTGCTGCTACTACTGCACATTCACCCAGTGTATATACTATTACCCCCCCCCCCCCTTTGCACATGTCGAGGAGCGTGTCAGGTTACATTTCACTGTGTGTTATACTTGTATAACTATGCATGTGACAAATAAAGAACCTTGAACCTTGAACCTTGATAAATCCACAGTGGAGAGGGGAACTTTTTCAAACACACATTTTATCAGAATTTTCACTGAGTCTGTAATTGTTTTATATGATTGTAAATAAATAAATTGTATGGCTATTAAAAAGATAAAGATGAAAAAATGTGAACCTTTCCTTTTGACTGGTTGCAAGTCATTAAAGAAAACTGATAATAAACAATTCAACCTGTTTTATACTTTATAAATTACAGCCTTCAAATTAAGTAACAATAAAGGATTCAAAATAAAAGCTAACAGATATTACATCACAAGTTATTACGACACAGAAAGGATATAAACTTGATTTAAACATGATAAAAATGGAACCACGTCCTCTTGAACGGCAGACCACAACTGGCTTTAATTTTGAAAGGTCCTGCAGGAAATCATGTTTGCGCAGTAAGGCGCTTTCCATGGAGTGTGGGCGTGACCAGCACGAAAGGGGGCGGGACATCAGGTTTTTGAGTACGTCGACAAACAAGAGTCGGTCCCAGTGGGTGAAACAGCGGAGCGACGAGCGCGAGGACGAAACGACGACAAACAAACAAACAAACAAACAACAGCGACGACAAGATGGTGGCCAAACAGAGGATCCGCATGGCGAACGAGAAACACAGCAAGAACATCACGCAGAGAGGAAACGTGGCCAAGACCACGGTGAGTAAAACCGTCATCATCATCGTCAGGGCGAAGAGCGCGAGCCGAAACTGATCGATAAACGATCAGAAACCGATCGATCGCGTGAGGATCCGTCGTCAGGTCCAGTCAGGCCAACTTCAGGAGCACTTCAGCTCCCCTATAGACAGGCTGTAACAGATGTGTTTAAAAACAGGAAAGGTCAAAGGTCAAAGATGATTGTTTTAAAGGTGAGACGCTTTAAAAGTGTCTCTACAGGAGAGTAAAGCGCAGGTATTGATCACAGGTGATCGAGTTTAGAGCCAATGTGACTCAGAAGTCTGAGAATTCCAGAGAAACGGGCTGTCCGTGAAGGCAGCGCACTTGGAGCTGGTCCCAGCAGGCCTGGGAGAAAGGTGGGGTACACCTGGACAGGTGTCAGGTCTAGTTTTAGTCACAATCAGAGTCAAACCCACAACCTTCCTGCAGCGAGGCGACCGTGATAACCGCTGCTCCACCCAATCCTCAATAAACACAGATCGGGATGAGCGTGATGGGCTGATCAATAAATTGTGTGTGTGTTTCAGAGGAGCCTGACTGATGACAAAGGTGTGGGGCCGTGGCTGCTCGCCCTCTTCATCTTCGTCGTCTGTGGATCAGGTGAGTCCTCCTCTTCTTCTTCGGTCATAAAGGTCTGCTTCACGCTGACGGCTCGTTCATTGTGTGTTATAAACGTGTCCTTTGATTTTCTGGTTTATGAAAGATTTAAATAACTGTTGACTAAAGAGCTGGAAATGGGTGGGGCCTGTCCCTGTGATGTCATGGCACGCCGTGCTGCTGTGACCTTTAATTGATGACGAGCACCTGGTGCTTCAGGTGTGTTTGATCAGGGTGATCTGAGCACGCTCAGACGTGATCACAGAGGTCGTGTCAGGTTATCTTTAATGGAAACTACTTTTAAAAAATATATTTAAAATAATATAAAATCAAAGGGAGAAAAATGCTTTAAAAAGTTCTGAAAATGTCATAAATATTTAAATAAACTGAATATTTTAAGTTTAGGGCAAAAAAATTGCATTAATACTAAAAATAAGTTTGTTTTTTGAATAAAAATGTAAACAAATCCTTTAAATAACATCAAAATGATGAAGAATCACATTTTCCACGTGAAATCGTTTTTCACATAACTCGAGTGGTGTGAATAAAATCACCAGTGATTATTTTATTCTGAACGGATTAAAGACAAACGTGAAACGCAGTAACGCTGATGCCTCGTCTGTCCCGCAGCCATCTTCCAGATCATCCAGAGCATCAGGATGGGCATGTAGAGTGATGTCATCGACGGCGGCGGGGCCACGGAGGCGCGGCGAACGCCAGCACCATCAGAACACCGTGTTGCCGCCCCAACCCGACGAAAACATTCCTGAACTCTGACCACCGTCACCTGAGCAGACCAACCCCCTGCCCCCCTCTCAAACAAACCCCGCCCCCTGACACCAGCCTGTTATCTGTTGATTTAACCTGTCGCCACCCGCTGTCCTTCTCACAGTGTTCATGTTTCACTCTGTGCCTTTCTGTGTTTACCTGAGCTTTGGCCCCGCCCCCCTGCGGGGCCAGCTGCAGACCAAAGTGATGGTGGCGTCTGGACATGAAGGTCTTTTGAATCAGAAGGTAGTGAGGAGCTCACAGGTGAGCCTGCACCGTGTGCAGCTGCACCTGAACATTCCCGATCACTCAATAAAGTTCACTTTGAATACAGAGCGCCGTGTGTGTGTCGTGTCTAAGCCCCGCCTTTCCTCGCTCACCAAGTCAAAGCTGTCGGCACGATCGTCTCTAATCAGTCATCAGACCTGAGACGGCGACTCCGTCAGAGTCAGACGTCTGTATCTGTGAGTGTAATCAGATTACACTCACTGTGCCTTACTGTAGAGTCCCTGATTACATCACAGCGATCAGTCGGCGGTCACTGGTGGGTGTGACGGTGTCACAGTCGCAAAGACGATGAAACTATTTGCAAACTGAAACGAGGGTGTTTACAGTGTAATCAGATTACATTTAACCTCACAGGTGGAGAGTCAGTCGCTGAGTGATGTCACAGATTTCAAATCAAAGGTACCGTTAGGATTCACGCTCTGTGACGAGGACCGGCAGCTGTTCCTCTGAAGTCTGTGATGATGTCATGAACTGACTGATCAGCTGATCAGTGTTGAAGCTGCTTCCTGGATCAAGGCCTGTGCTGACCTCTGACCTCTTACTGTGCTGTTACTGTGACCAATCAGATCTGAGCAGCTTTGGCTAAGTTGGTTCATCCTCCAGGGGGCGCTGCAGGGTTAGAGCTAGGGTAACCCTAACCCTCACTTTAGGACCAGGAGTAAAGGTCGTTGAAAGGGGAGGAGACATGCTGCTTCCAAACAGAGCGCCAGAGGGAGTGTACGCCCAGGGCGCCAAACAGGCTAGGACCGCCACTGCACCCGATGGATTAATAAAGTTTTATGTAATCTAATAACTTTGATCTCAGCCAAACCGATTTACTCACGAACAGACCTCCCTCTGGGCTTCTCTGCTTGGGCTGCTGCCCCCACGACCCGGCCCCGGATAAGCGGAGGAAAATGGATGGACGATGACATTTTTAAGTGACTTATGTATCATGTTTAACCTTTTCCAAATATGTGACGTCTTGATAAACCGAGCAGATATTTGAAGTTTACACAGAAACATTCTCGCCTGAAAATATCTTAAACATTTATTTTGTGACCCAGAAAGATTAGTAAGAGTAATATTAAAACTGAGCAGCTGCCACCATTGTTGGAAACACTATGAATGCTGGGAACGCGGGCCACGAAGGATACACCGGACCCATCCTTCAAATCTGGAGAACAGGAGGACCCGTTTGGAGGAGTCTACAAATTTGGACAGCCTTTGCTGCGTCGCTGTAATCGGCCTCAGGACGATGCAGCCTATGAATTTGGACATCGCAGGTGGCAGCAGGGAGCTGCTGCAGTGTCCCTGTTGGCCCACCAGGTGGTGCTGTGTGAGTGTGAACCATGTTTTCAGGCCTCATTGATGAGCGTAAACAAACAGCTGATCAGTCAATAATCTGCAGTCCGGACTTTTGAACATTTCAAACGTATTTTTACATAATTACATGAAAATAATAAAATGTTTCCATTTATTAAATACGATATAGAAACAACAACAACATGAATACACACATAAGACTGTGTGTGTGTGTGTGTGTGTGTGTGTGTGTCAAACTGGTTATGTACACTTTTGTCCTGAGCTGGTCTTCACTGTGAATACTTGTTTTTCATAGATTTTATTATAAATATTATTTTGTATCTTTTTACACTAAATGTAAATGTACACAAGTTGAGTCTGTTCATCTGGATGGTTTCAGTGGGAGAAACGTTTCATCATCATCAGGCGACTTCTTCAGTCTCAACTGACTGCAGGTTCCAACCTTATAAACAGGACATTTGTACAATGACTGAAACCAGCAGCACTGAAGGAACAAAGGGCTGGGAGGTCACCTTCATCATAATTATGCAAATTCTCATGACCATTGATCAACAACCACTGATCAATAACCACGAGTCCCATTCACAGAGAGTTGGGGAATGGCTGCAATCACAGCAAGTAAGATGGCGACAGATGAACCCTTAGGCCCCTCCTCCATTCAGAGATGGTCTTTGCCTTTCACGTAAATGGAAGCCACTCGCATCACTTAGTAAATGTGTTTTAATTCTGTCATTTCTTGTTTTTAGTTTACTTCCTGTTTGGCTCTCGCAGCTCTTGCTGATTTGTTTGTTTATTATTGATAATTGTGTAAAAATCAAAAATATCACAAAACAAATCTTTCATTTACTTTTAAAATATTAATATTTCAGATGTTTATTTTGTTTTATTTATTAGTTGTAGTTATTTATTTTATAATATTTAACTTGAGATTGTTAAACTTTATTTGTTTTTGATTTTTAAAATGATTTTGTCGGTTTGTTTGTGTCTGCAGGGTGAGCGACCCACGCTCACCCTGCAGACACTCTTTGTTCTCAGGCCTTTGTTTCCACAGACAGTGTCTCTCTCACACACACACACACACATTCATCATCCAACCCATTTCTTTAAAGTCTGACCTGTTTTCATCTGAATATTTGGAGCACCCTCCCCCTCCCTCCCCCCAAAGAGAGCATGGACGACCTGAGAGCGTCTCAAACCTGCGTTCTCTCTAACGGCCACCAGGGGGCTCCACCTCTGAGAACTCGTACCTCGTACGAGCTGCGTCCAGCAGGAGAACATTTACTAAAATGTTTCTGTTTATTTCTGTAATTTGTCAACAAAACAACAAACAAATTTCACACATTAAGGACAGAAAGAGGACACCACCAGTTTACTGGGTGAAGGACTCACACCTGTCATAGTGCCCATCACTCGCATTCAGAGCGCTGCCGTGCTGTTTGTGAGGCGGGATTAGTCTGAACTGTGAATCATGCAAAGCTGCTCTACGTCAGTCCAGCACTCAAATCGTGGCGGTGAGGACGGGCCGGCGGGGGAAACAGGAAGTGCACAAAGATGTGAAACAGCTTCCCCATGATGGAGGACAGAGGAACAGCGTCTGACAGGACACAAGTCTAAGCAAAGGTCAAAGGGCAAAGAGGGATTACATGACTGTCGTTGCTAAGTAATTAACTCAACCGCTGCAACTAAAGTGGGCGGGGTCAAACGCCACAGTTCCTACAGGCTACAGAAATATTCTCACGTAGATGAGCAGCAGGCTGCTTATCACCAAAACGCCATCCAGTCAGCTCAGTCACCACTTTACACATTGTGATGTCATTCGCAGTCATGAGGATGTGGCGCCGTGACATCACAGAGCTGCCAATGGTTCGTTGTTCTTTAATGTTTAAAGTCCCTTGAAGTCAGGAAAAAAGTCCACAGACGCCATGCTTCCTGTCAGGTCACTTCCTGTCTGTCGTCTTCAGCTGTTGGATGCCTGCTCCGGCTTCAGTCTGATAGCCCAGGAGTTTGCAGAGACGATGTCGCCACGGCGATGGACGCGGCAGGTGTAAACGCCTTCGTTGAACTCGTTGGCGACGATGCGCAAGTCTCGGTCCTTCATGACGATGTACCCTGGAATGGATGAGAGGATCTGCTCGCCATCTTTGTACCAGCTGCAGGAAAACCACAGACACCACAGACCTTTAAGCTTTCAGCTCCGCCCACAATCATTCAAACAGCTGTACAGAAAATGACCACAAGCCCGGCTCGTTAACTGTGACTCGTCCTGGCTCCTGAAACTCTCCGAGAAAGATTTTAACCTTGACGAGCTGTGTCCATGACCAGTGACGCCGCAGCATTAGCTTCAAAACATGAACAAGGAAAGTTTGAAGCCTAATCTTGAAAGTAGAGATAGTGTCTGTCTCCCGAATCCAAACTGGAAGCTGGTTCCACAGAAGAGGGGCCTGAAAACTGAAGGCTCAGTTATTGTAAATTTTATCAGGAAATGATCAGACAGGAAACTCTGTTACATGTTCAGTTTCTATGCCACATGTTAAAACAAGATCTAGAGTGTGATTAAAGTGGTGGGTGGGTTCTTTTACATGTTGACAGAAGCCAGTTGAGTCTAATAACAGATTAAATGCCATGTTGAGGCTGTCATTCTTAGCATCTACATGTTAAAATCACCCACAATAATGATTACGCCAGCATTGATGAGCTGACCTGATTTTGGGGGGTGAGCGGGTGCTTTTGGTCCCACAGCGGAAACCCACCACCTTTCCCCGAGGAACCATCTTGATCTTCGTGTTGGCTGCCGGCGGTGTTGCTGTAGTGACCACCTCCAGAGGCTCTGCAGTGGGAACAGGATGGAGACGGGCAATGAGCGTCGTGCGGGCTTCTGTGAGGGTGTCAGAGGTCAGAGGGGCCTCACCGTAGCAGAAATCACAGCGCTGAGGACAGTTCTTCTTCATGAACGTCTTCCTTCGCTCGCAGAAGCCGAGCCGAGCCCACGGGTCGCAGACTCGCTTCTTATCCAGACAACCTGCAGAGCGACAGACGTGTCCAGTCACTTAAACACAACAAACACACGTCACATGATGCAGCGGCGTGTTTCCGCCTGTCTGCATCAGGGGATGTTTATTTCTGATCGGTCAGAGCAGTTTCCCCTCAGTCCACCTTAAATATCTCAAATGCATAAATGTGCTGTTTCCCAGCTTTGCAGCGAACAGCTGTAAACCTGACTGAAGCAGGACGAGCTCGTTTCCGGCCGCGCTGGGGTTTACCGTAGAGTCTCTGGATGCCCCACACGTCGTCCTGGGCGATGTTCCTCTGTCCGGTGTAGGTGGCGTTGGGATGCATCAGAGCCTGAGGGTCTCTGGAGTGCCACAAACCCAGAGCGTGGCCGATCTCGTGTGCCGCCACCTGGACCAGGTCGTTCAGCCAGACTCCTGCAGGAGGAGATTTTTACATCCAATCATTATCATCCTCAGAGCGCCGGCTGCAGGATGGTAATGACGTGTTCTCAGAGGAGCGTCACTCCTGCTGCAGCCTCCTACAAACAGACCACGCCCACCACACTCGCACAATGATCTCTGAGGTTTCTGCTGTGCTCTTCCTGTCTGTCATGTTTCAGGAGTTTGTTTAGATTTTTATCATTTAAGAAGCATTGAGGAATAAATCCTGTCACGATACCAGCGCTGCTGTTTATAACACACACACATGTTATAAACTCAAAAAGTGAGGAACACCTAAAACAACATTTGTGCTGTTTCTTTCATCTCTCAGACTACGGTGGCCTTCTAGGAACACACTAAACACACACAGAACCATCCTACGTGCTCCAACCTTGTTTCCAGCTGAAGCGCGACTTCCCGAGGATCCAGAACTCGTGGTTGTCAAAGTGAATTTCTCCCCGTGGTGGCAGGAAGGCGTGCGCCAGCTCGCCGTTCAGCCCATCGAAACACGGGTGGAGAGGAGACCACCAGCAGTCCGTGTGGTTGAAGGTGTAGAAACCTGGAAATAGGAAACTGAAGTGGAACATCTCAGAGGACGAAAGCAGAGCTCCTCATCCTGCAGACGTGTTCGTGTCCTTTCATGAGGACGACCTACTGAACGCACTTCTTTAATTACCACCAGCAACATGTAGCTGCAGCCTTCACCAGCAGGGGGCAGAGTTTTACTCTTACCGCCGCTTCGTCCAGAACCTTCAGCTTTTCCAGCCCACTAGTAAAGGTTCGGCTGACTCACTACGCCATCTTGTGGTACAAACTGGTATAACATGAAACAACAGCCTGTCTCCATTTTAATATCAGCTGATATCTGTTCAACACAACATCGATGCCGTCTCTCCACCTTCTGTTGATACTTTGGTTGGTTTTTCTAAGGTTTGAATCACTTTGAACACAGGCAGTTACAATTACGAGGCAATTTTTTAATGATATGGACTAATCTTGTATTAAAATAAAGTACCTGTGACCTGTTTAGTGCCAGGGTTAGGGCTCTAATCCATCACTTTAAGCAGAAGTTGGCCCTTTTCAAATGAAGTCTCCCACACAGAGAGAGGTGCGTGTTAACCTGACCCTGTGGGTCCACAGCCAGTTAAACGTTCAGTCCTACCGATGGTGATGTCAGCGGTAGCGTTGCCGTCAGTAACCTCGGTGAAGGTCAGCGGAGACACGTCACTCCACTTTGTGAAGGCGATGCCGATGGCCTTCCTGGTGTCCTCCACATTCAGGGTGTTGGGGAACTTGATGATCCTGAGATGGAAGAGACAGACAGATAACTGGACTCTGATTGGTCCTCAGAGAATGATGCTCCGCCTCCTCTGATTTCAGTTGTGTGATTGGTATAGAAATACAATGGGAGGGCAATCAGTGAGGTAGGTACTCATCAGCATGGAATCAGGAAACAAACGAGCCAATCACGATGCTGCGCCATTCGCTTTCTTCATCGTCATCTATGAACGTTTTTCAGTCGTTAACAAAAAAAACCCCAAAAAAAACTGGTTGTCAAAGAAAGGACAAAATGTTGTTCCAGTCACCCGGGCTCCGCCTGCTACTACAGGCCCTTTACCTGCATGGAAGGAGCCAGAATGAAAATAACCACCCAAATAACTGCCTGCAGGCGTTACAGCGAAGGGTCCTGAGTGTCAAGATTGTTTCTAGACTTTGACCTGAGGCTGCTGCTCCTGCTGCCGACGATGAGGAGGAGGAGGAAGGGTTGGTTCCTGCGCTGTTTATTGGTTAGACTCTCGGACACCAGAGATTATTCTCTGCCTTGTGGTTTATATTCTGCTCTTTATTTTTGACTTGTATAAATTGGAGGCCGAACACGAGGCTCTGTGTGAGGGTCACTTTCTCTGTTCAGGCTCCTGCTGGGTGACATCCTGAATCACTGTAGATATGACAGCCAGCAGGCCCTCAGTATTAGCTTGAATTTCAGGCTCCAAATGTTTACCTTCATAATTAAATATTCTACACGTAGAATGTGCTTTAATACAAGCTGTGGCAGAGGTGCAGAGGTCCAACCAATAAACGCTGAAATGCAGCAAAATAATAGAAAGACGCAGAATTAGACGATGACGACATTAAATCTTTAACTTACACATGATCTTAGAGGACGATTAGAGAAACAGAGCATTTTGAAGTTCCTGACCTTGTAAAAGCACACGTGATGACCTCAGAGCTTCACTGAATGAATTACAGGATGTTACTAAGTCTGCACAGGTGTTTCTCTACCTGTACGTGATGTTATGGTGAGTCCACTTGTGTCCTAGAGGGTTGATGGCATAGCGTTTGCTTCTTGCTGCTCGGTCCCCGAACACCTCCATTGATCTGCTGCTGTCAGACATCTGAAACACAGCAAACATGCAGAGTTAATAACCAATCAGCTTCCTTAAAATCAGTTGCAGTGCCTCTAGCGTCCAGCAGAGGCAGCACTGAGTCAGTCCTCATAGACTCCCGTTTTTAAACTTTACAGCAGAATTAAACACGTTTACAGCCAGATACACAAACTGTTTGGTCTCTGTGGATACGCGACGTCTGGACCGTGTTTGTGCTGTTGGGGCCTTTGTAATGACATCATCTGACCAATAATATGTCTGCTGTGAGGTCACTGTACTAACAGAGCGTCCACAAGGCTGAGCTCTGGGTTTAATGCGGCAAACTGGAGGATTTTGATTGTATAGTACTGAGCCCTAACTGGCCCGTGTCTGTGGATGCAGACCAGCTCATGACTCAGCCATGCTGGCTTTGCTGGCTGAGGCTGTTTTATCGAGCACGGCGAGCTCCGTCTGGAGGTTTTCTGTTATTGATGATTTGACACCACCTGTAGTTTCAGGAGGTCATAGGTCACATGAATGACTGGTTTTACCAAAGTCAGGAGCTGATGCAGCTGCAGCGTTTTGGCCTAGCAATAACTTCCTGACCTCTGTGATTTCCTGTGACTATTTCAAAATAAAAGCTCAAGTCTCAGCAGCCGTGCATGATACGCTGTTCAAACAGAAACAGAAATACTGCAGCGCTCTAATGAAACAGGAGACTCTGGAAGGCTCTGTGCACAGATGTGGACAGATGTGGCAGTAGGGTGATTCCATACAGATGTGAAACACTTCCTTCTTTGTCTCTTTCATGTGTGGCTTTGATGTGCTTTGATTTCCCCCCCCCCCCCCCACGTTTCTGTCAGCCACATGTGAACTCGGCTGAACCTCCTTTGCCTCCACGTTTCACTCGCTAGAAAGTCTGCTCCCACATCTGAGCGCTCAGACAGAAAGGACCCCACAGGCTCCACCCAGCGCCCCTTGCTATGTGGACACCACCTACAGGTTCTGCTTTGGCGCTGTTCATTCACACGTTTATGCTCTGCTCCCAGCAGCTGTTTGCTGTTACTGCAGGAAACTTGCAGAGCGCCATCTGGTGGACAGACTGTGCAACACCAACACTCCAAGCCTGGCTGAATGGTGTTTCTCCTGTTATCAGTGCTGACACTGACAGATCAGCTCACAGATAACATCAGCAGCCTCACGTTTGTGACACCGAACAGCAAAAGTTGAATATTTGATCTGTTTCTGATCTGGATCGACTGAAGGAACCAAAACTGTGATAACGACGGGTGAGTTCAGACTGACAGCAGACTGCAGGTGATGCTAACACCCCGGGGACCTGAGTGTGACTGAGGAAACAAACCTAAGACCTGCCTGGAGTCCGTTTCACAGGAATCGTCAGACTTACAGAGTTTGATCAGATTTCAGACAGTGTGAACGTTTCTACACTGAGTCTGAGACACGAAGCAGTAAACATTTTAATTAGCAGTGCAGGACTGTGTGAGGTCACCTCTATGCTCTGCAGGCTTTTAAAGGCTCATTCTAAATATTCAAACCAAACCAGTCAGCTATTTCATGGAAAATCATCTCAGCAAAGTCAACTTAAGATGTTTAAAGAATCATTCCAAAAGTTTTAATGAGCACAAAGAAATGGCAGAACCACAGAGACCACAAAACGTCTGCAAACGTCTTCAGAGAGCTTTGTGGAAAACAGACTCAGACCACATCACAAAGAGACGCAGCGAATAAAAAGATTACAGCGCAGACACACTCTCATCACGTTTCAATTTTGTTTCCTGACTTTAAATAGAAGAAAATCTTGTAAAACCGTTTCACAGATTTACGTTTCAGTGACTTTTCAGACCCAGAAATCAGCTCCCCACCCACTCTCACAAAAGCTGCAAACTGATGTTGGAGTCAGTTGCTGTCTGACCTTCAGGGTCCCTCAGCTGAGAGCCAATCACGTGACTCCAATCACGTGTTTTTTTTTAGTTTGATGTGTGAAAGAGTAAAAAACGCTCAGATTCATCTTCAGTTTATCGTCAGAGAGAAAGAAAAGCGCAAAATCATCTGAACTCAGAAACTTCATCATTTCTAAGTCTGAGCGAATAAGAGCCGGCTCCAGCGCCAGGGTGAAGAGGAGGAGGGTTATGACCTGTGTCTGACCTCGGGCTGACTGCGCGCTCTTTGTTCTCTACCAGTTTGTCTGAAGTCGGTCCCGACACTGACCTTCATCATCACCATCATCATCATCATCATCAGCTGAACGGGGTCCATGGCGAGTCTCGGACCGCGTGCCCGTCAATATATCAGTCAAACAATCGATCGGTGAGCGCGTGCGTCATCCCACGGAGTTTCCAGGCGCGCAGATTTACGCACGCACACTCCGCGGAGCTAAAAGTCGCGCAAGCTCCACTTCAGGCAGAAAATCAAAAAGCGGGAAAGATCCGAACCCCGGAGGCCCGACCCGACCCGCTCCGTGCGCGTGCTCAGCGTGGTCCGGGACCCGTGGGAGGAACGCGCTCCGCTGGGGAACAAACTGAGTGAAGTTCCCGGAGTGTCCGCTCGCTGCTGCAGCGGGGCTGGTCCGGAGGGGCGGGGTCAGGTGAGGAGAACAGTTTAACCCTTTCCCACCGGAACCACAGTTCTGTTTAAGCACTGAGCTCACTCAGCGGATAAACAAACCAGACCCGCTCCCGGTGTTTCCCTCTGGGGCCTCAAGGGCTCCAGACTGCAGGTTGGGCCACCCTGAGGTGTTTTCCCAGCAGCAGCGGTCCAGATGTGCAGCAGTTGTTTCGTCTCTGCTAAGAACATCTGTCCAAACACTCAACAGCTTCCTGTGAGGGAGACACGAAAACAGCAAAAACCAAAAATCGTTTACAAACTGAGAAATACTAACAAAACAGACCTGTAGACCTAAAAATACACACATCAAAAACTCAACCCTTACAAATACTGCACTACTAGTACTACACACACACACACACAAAGGTCCTGCGATTGAACAGGTTGAACTCGCTGCAGGTTTCTATCCGTTTATGACTTTACAGAAATAAGAGAGAAAAAACATGATGTGGGAGGATTCAGAAGAGAAACCTGCGATAAAACTCAACAACGTGTGGAGTTCCCCAAGGCTCCGTCATCGGTCCTCTGATGCTGATGGTCTGGCTTTATTGATCTGCTTCATGCCATCTTTTGATGGGCCTTACATGTTTAGACTTTCAGTTTGGGGTTGAGGAGCATCCACAGTTAGCTGCTTATTCACACAGCAGCGATGGAAACATCCAGTCACGTTCTCTGTTGAGACTTGTGCTCTGAATGTGGTTGTGACCTTTTTTACACACCCACAGTCATTAATATTAAAGTATTGATTAATGTGGCTGAAGCAACAGAAAGACAAAGCCCTGCTGATGGATTAATTCTGGATGTCTTATTGCCTAAATTAATCTGGGAGGGGTGAATTAATCACTCCTTGCAGCCCCCTCAATACCCCCCCCCCCCCCCCCCCCCCCCGGCCCGGCTTGCATTGTTGTCTTGTTTATCTCTCCGCCCACACTTGGCGTCTCTGTCCAGCTCGCGGTCACCTTCACTCTGACAAAGTGCCTGCAGAGGCATCTTTAGAGGAGCTCATCATATGGTGCATGTTAAGCAGCTCATTAACACTGCATTGTGAGCTGAATGAGGTTTGAATGTTGGCAGCTGAGCGGCCTGGCAGATTCCCATCATGCACTACAACACTGCTGTGACCTCACACCGACTCACTCTGTGCTGGCAGGGTGAGAATCGATCGATACGTTGACAGAAACCTGAAACCAAAATTCATCCGAGAGGCAGTTTGTTAGAAAGTCAGTGATCTCCTGAGGAAAGTGAAGGTCAAACTGAGAGAAGAGCCGTGATTACGCTTTGGTCCCTGAATGTCTCATCATCACTCTTTCTTCACCCTGACGTTAGTCTGCAGGACTTGTATTTTCCACATTTCTGGAAGAGCTGCAAACACACCGTGCTCTCCGGCCAGGAGACGGTTCTGCAGCAGGTACTGCTGATACTGAAACTGCTGACATCACACGCAGTGCCATCCAACCTGTCTTTGTCTTTATTGTCACTATAAATACATGAAATATAATGAGATCAATGAGATCCTTTTGACAACAGTCATTCACATCATTGCACCTGTAACTCTAATGTGACACCATCACATGTGACGGTGGCAGAACGAGGTGGACGCACCTGAGCGGCATAAACGATCACGCTGTTCCTGCATTGAAAGGGTGAACGAGGTTTTTGGGAAGTGTTCAGCTGTGTGTGTGTGTGTGTGTGTGTGTGTGCGTGTGTGTGTGTGTGTGTGTGTGCGCACGCGCATCGTGACAGCCACAGAGTAATAACAGAATCCTGAAAAGTATTGAAATGTGTTCGCCTCCGCCGTGTGTTTATCAAAGTGGACAGAACAAAAGAGACCTGACTTCAGAGCATGGAGAGATTACTGCCCACTGAACATCGTGGATCCTCTGTGGAGGTCGTCAAGAGCTCCAGATTCCTCGGTGTCCACCTGGTCCCTCAACACCAGCTCCATAACTAAGCTCTGCTTCCTGAGGAAGCTGGGAAAGCCCATCTCCCTCCATCCATTCTCACCACCATCTACAGAGAGACTATCGAGAGCATCCTGAGCAGCTGCATCACTGTCTGGATGGTAACGGCACCGTATCGGATCACAATGCTCTACAACTGTTAGTGAGAGCAGCTGAGAGGATCATTGGAGCCATCACAGAGGCCTGTCACACCTGCTGAATCGGCAAAGCCACCAGCATCGTGGAGGACCCCACACACACTCTGCTATCACTTCCAGCATAAATGAAGACAGGAAACTAAACAGCAGTGACGTTTGTAGGGTTACTGAAGTTGGGCTAGCTGGTATATAATGATGTGCTACGTGATCGCTAGCGACACAGCTATGTTAGCATAACATAAACAGTGAAGCTGGAGGACGAACACTAACACTTTTCCACTTATAAAAGTTAACGTGAAGGTTCCTGATGGTTAGAGACAAATGCAATCGCATGGCAGGATGCTGTAAACGGACCAAACTTCAGTCAGGAGAACAACTGAGATAATCCATCCACAATACCAGGTTAGTCATTCATATACTGCAACAACGTGGTCAAAGGAGCTTGCAAAGAAAAGCGTCTGGACTTCTTTAAGTTACTTGAAGACGTTTCACCTCTCATCCGAGAAGCTTCTTCAGTTCTAAGGTCAAATGGTGGAGAGTCCCAGATTTAAACCCAGTGGGAGTTTCTCCCCACAGAGGGACAAAAGGACCCCCTGACCCTAGAACTGAAGAAGCTTCTTCAGACAAGACAGTAACGCGTTATGCGTTACTGTAATCCGATTACTTTTTTCAAGTAACGAGTAAAGTAAGGGATTACTATTTCAAAAAAGGTAATTAGATTACCGTTACTTTCCCGTAGGAACGCTGCGTTACTGCGTTACTAAAACCGTGATTTTTTGCGAGAATGTCTCATGACAGTGACGTAAGCGAGTGCGCCGTTCGTGACAACAGCTGTGCGCAGATCAACAGTGGATCACATATCGAGTGCGGAGAGAGTATGAGCGTGCAGCGTTTAGAGCGTGGAAGTACTGACCTTACTTTGAGTTTGATTCCATAAAAAGTGACAAAAACATTAGCCGTTCAAAGAAAACTTCTTTTTACATCAAAAAAACCCCTAAACTTCTGCACAAGCACCGAGTAGCTACGATGGGAATATAAAATTCACAGAGAAACTCGCGGATTCTTCCACTGACGGCTGCAGCACACCTGCACCAGGGTAACCCTCCGCCTGCCCCACTCCTGCTAAACAGGTGAAAATAGAGCAACAGGACCGCTGAGTCTCTGACTTTATTTATTTTCTGCTGTGTTTTACTTGCATCTATTTGAAAGACTGAGTGTAAACACACAAAATATTTTATTTTATGAGCTGGAATGTGCAGAAAATAGGTTTAAATGTTAAACTAATTTCTTCCAGTCAGAGAATGTTGCAGATAATTAAATCTTTGCTTGATGCATAAAGTTAAAAGATTAAAACTAATAAAACAAGTTTAAAAAGAGACTTTTCCATTTGATGACATTTTATATGATGGATTATGCAGAAAAAGTAGAATTGGGATTGAAGCGATTGAAGATCTATCGTAAGGGTCCATAATCCCAGTCCACGAGGGCCGGTGTCCCTGCAGGTTTTAGATGTGTCCTCGAACCAATACAGGTGGTTTAAATTGATAAATTAGCTCCTCAACATGTCCTGTAGTTCTCCAGAGGCCTGGTAATGAACTAATCATGTGATTCAGGTGTGTTGACCCAGGGTGAGATCTAACACCTGCAGGGACACCGGCCCTTGTGGACTGGGATTGGGGACCCCTGATCTATCGCGTCATTACCTATTGAGGGTGTAAAGTAACTAAATAACTAATTACTTTCAAAAATAAGTAATCAGTAAAGTATTACTTTTGGGGGGGGAAGTAATCAGTAATTAGTTACTGATTACTTTTTTCAAGTAACTTGACCAACACTGGTCGTCAGCATACAGGTGATAGGAAATATGATTGTTAAAAAAAGAGAACTGAACCAAAGACAGATCCCTGAGGGCCCCACAAAGCAGAACAGCAAAACACCTCTCAGAAAAATGTGACATGAACCATTTTAAATCATCAGCAGAGGAACTCTTCTCCATTGTTTATGGGAATGTCCTAAAATCCAGGAATTTTGGAAAGATGTCATCAAATGTCTGACTGAAGTGTTTAAGGTAAAAATTCCTTTAAATGGTAAACTCTGTGTACTTGGAATACACCCAAGGGGATTTAAGCAACTGGAAAAACAAACTAAATTACTGGACTATGGACTACTTCAAGCCAGAAGAGCCATTGCACTAAGAGGATGCTCCCTCCATGGGACTCTGGAAGAAGGAAATTGCAGGCTCTAGGCCTGGAAAGACTAACATATATTGCAAAAACTGGGACTTTGTGAATATGTGGAAGCCATATATGGACATTTCAGGGAGTGGAGGTGAAGGATGTTTATGAGAAAGAAGGAAAAGAAGAAGGGAAGGAGGGGAAAATCTTGTTTATCCTTATCTGTAATTCCTTGTATTTTTGTATTACTGTGAGAACTATGCTCATTCTACATTTGAATATGATGTAGGCAGGTTTGATGTATGGATGGGTGTGTGAATGTGAGGTTGTTCAAATATTTGTTTGTATTGTACAACAGAAAATTTCAATAAAAATATGTAGAAAAAAATGAACAGCAGTAATCCCAAACAGGTCCTTGAGCCTGTTTATCATGGTGCTGTGATCTACAGTATTTAAGCTGAGGTCCAACTGAACCAGAGCTGTGTTTACTCTCTAGAGTCTGCTGCCATCAAGATCTTTGACAAAATGTGGAGCCCTGACATCCTGTAACAGGAGCGTACTGGGTCAGACGTGGGAGCTGCTTAGCTCTGTAGCCCAGTCTGATGCTAGAGTACAGCTTGTCCAACGTGTTGAATCTTCTGGTAGTGCAATTTACACCTTGATGGAATTTCTGCAGC